AAGAGTAATTTGTTTCATGTCACTACAATCCGATAATTTAAACGAATGTAATAATTCCAAAGAGATTTCAAGATACAATTCTTTCAGTTACATCATCGAGAACACATGCTTTCTCGCTGCGTTTTCAAAACGGAATACATTATAGTTTCCAAAGACATTATAGGCGCTGTTCCATCTTGGAAGGCTTAACAGACTACGAAGACTATTATGATAATTAATGATCAGTTTTATTTCATACTTTATTTTATTTTATTTCCGTTTGTTCACAGAGGAGATCAATACATTGTGTGTCAGTAAGATTTTATTAGTTTAGTACTCATATTCAAAGAACAATTTCTAAATTTACGGAGAAACACAAAAATCTATAAAGTCTCGTCGTATCTCATCTGACCGATTGCATTTTAATATATGACCAAAATACTTATAACTGTAGACGTATGTAAGAGGATGGTAGTATCTCATCAGCAAAACTAATATTGTTAAGAAATAGTACATTTGGTGCAAAATATAACCCCACATGACACTGACCCAGCTGACGATTTAACTCGTCCAGCTCTGTTTTAAATAACAAAGGGGAAAGAACACCTCCTAACTTATCCCATTGATTACATGGAAGGAAGTGGATACTAAACTTCCACAAAGCACGTAGTACAACTGTTTGCTATACCAATTAACTATGTAAACGGACATTTGAATAATATAGCAAGTTTTTAAAGAGCGTCCAATAATTAACCCTATCAAAAAAGCCTCGCTAGCATCTAAAAAAAATGCAAACGTGGGGGGTTTGCATGGTGTGCATAATAGTTAAGAGTTTCCTTAAAGACAAAGAAGCGTAAGTGTTGAATGTCGTCTTTCTTTTAACCTAACTGATTATCAGAAATTGTGACTTCACATCGTTATAGTAAAAGAATGTTATGTATATTTAAGTTGCAGTATTTTTTGGTTTTTCTTACTGGTATGTTAAATACATTTGTATTTAGTACTTTACTTTGTCCATAATCAAGTTCACTGTGCAAATGACCAGGGACATTTATTTCATAAATAATATAAGGTAAACATAGGGTTTAATATTCATATCATTATTAATGTAAATTGTTTACCTAAATTTGAGTTGAAAGATAGTCTTGATTCTGACCTAAGAATATTTTAGAATAGAAAATTTCCTTAAATGACAATATTTTCAGAAATGGTTGTTGCGATATAGGTAAATTAAAAGGCTATCTAAAAATTACTAATATTTTCCTTAACATCTGAAGCGGAATCATTCTTATTGCTGTGTTCAGGTTTTGATTTGGTGGAATTATTTATTCAAATTATTATTCACTGGAATTACAAAGTACTCACTAATATTATTGGACTGAAGCGTTAATTTGGAATTATAGTGAATTCAGATAAGAGCATTTTGGATTATATTATTGTGATAAATCAAAAGATAAGACTTAGCACACGATGACACTCCAAGCCATTGGCATATTAAAATAATCGAGACTAAAGGCGCATCAACAAATTCAGAATCAAAATTAATGTTTAATACCACGGATATTTGTTTGGAACTTCATACATTAATTAATTAATTAATTGTGATTAATTTTTTGGACTATTTGGGATTTAATTCATAATTCTGTAAGCTCATATTTTAGAGTTTCAATTTTTATTCCAGGGAAATAAATTATTGTTGAATTTTACAAAACTAGAAGCAAACTTGAATGATGTAGGAACATTTTCCTTACTGGAGTCGTTTTATCATTATATAGTAATGCAACAAAATGTCATGCAATCAACAAATCCATTCGAATTGTAAGAAGCGTAAGTATTTTTAATCCTTAATTAATATCCCTCATACCTTCCAAGTTTGTGTCGCCTCCATTTCATCGGAAATTTGACAATAAAGGTACAAGGTACAATATAAACATAGACGAGTGAATAAAAATGCAGACTTTTTGTTATTCCTTTTGGATTTTGTTACATATGAATAATTGCTGAACGTTACGAATTATATGCCAAACATATGGGATTTATTACTGGATTCATCAGGAGCAAAGGTAGTAAAATATAAATTGAAGCTACATAGAAAAATATTCATTAATAATATGAAATATGTCAGAAAGTAATAATTTGTCGCCAAGAGGAAATAATATAACTAAGAATCCTAGTTCCAGCCATGTACTGTCTGTTTGTATGTCTGTATGTCTATCTGTGTCTCTCTATAAACCTGTTTCACCTCAGTATCATTATTTTTAGACGTGTTTACAAGTGACTTGAAAAATCGCCATTTTCTTAGGAATATTTTCCACGTAGGCATAATGAGTAAATACTAATTTATAATGTATGCATGCATAACCATGTTTCTAATCAATTTAAACAAAATGTGTGAAACGAGAAACATGTTTTCTATAGTAGAAACAACAACTAATAAGTTTTTCAGTGTTTTTCACACGGGATAGAGCCAAAAAATTGCATTATCAAAATTTGTTTACTGAAATTGAACTTATAAATATGCGTTGAAAGGTTATCTAAAATAATAATTTTTAACGGCTTTTACATTTTGAAATCATTTTCATCTTTCTTTAGAAGAAAACTTAGCCTTATGTTTACTATTATATGTTGTTTATAGAACTAGAAAATCAATCATGATTGTTGCCATTTACATTGATAATGGCAACATAGACTATTTGATAATTAGGAATATGGCTTGCTATTGGTACTTTCTGAATAATTTATTAAACTATAATCTGTTGAGAAATACTCTTAACAAATTGATGCACGAACAATTGACTCTCTCTCTCTCTATCAATCAATCTATCAATCCATCAATCAATCAATCAATCTATCTATCTATCTATCTATCTATCTATCTATCTATCTATCTATCTATCTATCTATCTATCTATCTATCTATCTATCTATCTATCTATCTATCTATCTATCTATCTATCTATCTATCTATCTATCTATCTATCTATCTATCTATCTATCTATCTATCTATCTATCTATCTATCTATCTATCTATCTATCTATCTATCTATCTATCTATCTATCTATCTATCTATCTATCTATCTATCTATCTATCTATCTATCTATCTATCTATCTATCTATCTATCTATCTATCTATCTATCTATCTATCTATCTATCTATCTATCTATCTATCTATCTATCTATCTATCTATCTATCTATCTATCTATCTATCTATCTATCTATCTATCTATCTATCTATCTATCTATCTATCTATCTATCTATCTATCTATCTATCTATCTATCTATCTATCTATCTATCTATCTATCTATCTATCTATCTATCTATCTATCTATCTATCTATCTATCTATCTATCTATCTATCTATCTATCTATCTATCTATCTATCTATCTATCTATTTGAATACGTGGAGATTCAAAATCAAACACCACAGACTTGGCAACAATGTTTATTTTTCTTCTTTCAGTTTAGAGTTAGGTTTAGATAAAGTCTTAGGCATCATGTAACACAAGTAATTAATTAGTCTGAGATACAATAAATAATGAATCGGTAGATGTAATAAAAACATAAATTCCTGAGCTTGAAATATTTATAATTACAGGAGAATTATTGAAAATTAAATGGGCATTAAACTTTGAAGGATATATTAAGTTTAGCATTGCAATATCGAATATACAAAAAAGAATTCATAGTTCTGTTGTATTGTAACAGCCACTATGACGAAAAATCCCTAGGAGAGGGAATGGGTAATAAACAGACTGCAGCAACCACGGCCACTTTAATAGTACCATACATTTCGTTCTCCTTCGCGTGAATGTCGATTGAAGCGTAGATAAAAGGCTTGGTATACAGTAAAGTATTAATTACACTATATGGGCCATATCATAGAGTGTGACCTTAAAACAAAGGGAGGATCTTCGGCCAATATATCCTCCAGCTATGCAATATTATTTGTACATTGACTAACTGATTTCTTTTATGATCGCGACTTTCTTTCCATTTTTTTATATAATCAGCTCTCTTTTTATCACTCATTCTTTATTGAAAAAAAAATTAAATTGAACTTAAGTATAACAATAACCCATAGTTCTCATATACTTGTGCGGTCTGAATTAAACTTTGCGTTCAAGAGTGAAATTGGCAAATGGTAAATTGACTTGAATCGTGATTTAAAGGTTATAAAATACTTTTGAATATGTTTCAGTGGAATATATTCATAATTTTGAAATATGTATGAAATAAAAATTTATTTTATATTGAACGATTTATATATATATATATATATATATATATATATATATATATATATATATATATATATATATATATATATATATATAATAGTCAAACATTTTTATTTCATTTCACTGATATCAATATAGACTGTGCTTGTTCATTTATAGTATTTATGTTAAAATATTTCGTACAACGTTTGACACGTCACACTGACTAATTGTGGGACAAGTAAATAAGGCAAATCTGACAGGAGCAATCAACGTTTTCATGAGTCAGAATCTTTACAAGGTTATACAAGAGGACCTGACGGTGTACAAGAAGATGACTTGACCAAGCTATCTAACGACTCTAACCTTGGCCGTCCCAGTAATACATTCGTTAACTTGATCAAGCTATTTAACGACTCTAACCTTGGCCGGCCCAGTTATACATTCGTTAACTTCAAAGTACTGGTTGACCAATCGTTCAGAATAACTAAGCTGGAGAGATAGTAGAGATATCTAATGGTGAGATAGAAAGGACAGATTGGAGAGGATGAGCATGAGATGACGAATGGTGTGTGTATGTGTGTGTGTGTGTGTGTGTGTGTGTGAGAGAGAGAGAGAGATATTTTTGACGTAGCTTAAACGATTTTTCAGTCATATCGCGACGACGCCTGCAACAGTTTATAGTGATGTCTGGGTTATCATGCCGAAAACATGTAGCATGATTTCCCCCTTCCAGTCACATTATTCTGACACCATTCCAACCAGTCCTAACACTAACCTCTTAAAGTCTTTGGCATGACGCGGTCTGGGTTCGAACCCACGACCTCCCGCATCTGAGGTCGATGCTCTAACCACTAGGCCACCGGAGCGGTTTCCCAGAAAATGGAAGTTATCATTATTATTAATACTATTTTATTTTTATTTATTTTATTTTATTTTGAGAGTGAGGGTAGGGATGTCAGTTTATAATGGGGACCTGAATTGGGAAACTAAAGGGAAATATTTTTGTGGGTGGTTGGGTGTGTCAAAGAAGCATGCGATTATTGGATTTAACAATATGGATGTCACTAAGAGGGTCTACTGAACTTTAAGATTATATTTGATCACTCTAAACTTTAGTAGTACCGACATGACTAGTTCTAGACACACTTTTATTTGATTAATTTATTAAAGTTTCAAAAGTGACCAGATTTTAGCCGAAACATTAATCAAGATAAAGGGATAACCTATAACCCTCATCTCTATAGTTCAAACATACTCATTCCAAATATTATATGTGGCCTACTAAAGATACCGTACACCTACCTTCATGAGTTGCTCACATTCTAAATTCATGGTGTGTCTTAATGATTTTCAAGTACTCCTGCACATGCTGTTGACACTACAGGGTCTTGTCTAGTGATGTTCAAGATCTACTACCCTAGTCATTCACCTTCCAAGTACAAGGCCTGGTCTACTGATGTTGAAGTATTCCTACTCGAATTACATTAAAATTGCATAACATCGCAACAGTGAGAACGCTACTTTACAACTCTTGTACCAAAGGTGCAACGAGAATACGGTATAATCCGTCTGGAAAGAAACGGGAATTTATTATAGTCCCTGATTAACTCACACAAACGTACAGTTCCAATTAGGTATATGACCTCTTGTATGGTGGTCCATTCTTTCCGATTAGAAAATGTAATGCACAACATGCTGTACATAACCCGTTGTAAGTAAACTAATCTCTTTCGATCCGTCTAAATGATGATCAAACAATATTTAACCCTTTATTCATATGACCCATTCATTGTATGTATTTGATTTCCCTCCATATGATCCGCTTAATTCCTTAGTCAATTTCCATTCATATAATACCGTTCATTCCTCGTGTCCCATTTCCCTCTATAATATCTGCCTCATTCCTTAGTCAATTTCCATTCATATAATACCGTTCATTCCTCGTGTCCCATTTCTCTCTATATTATCTGCCTCATTCCTTAGTCAATTTCCATTCATATAATACCGTTCATTCCTCGTGTCCTATTTCTCTCTATATTATCTGCCTCATTCCTTAGTCAATTTCCATTCATATAATACCGTTCATTCCTCGTGTCCCATTTCCTTCTATATTATCTGCCTCATTCTTTAGTACGATCTCCCTCCATATGACTTTTTTTTCCCTTTTGTCTGATTTCCCTCCTTGAAGATTAAATAATTTTCAAGTTATCAACTATTCACTTTTTGTTTGAATGACCTATTGTCTTGTACATATACTAATTCGTATATTGTAGGACCCGTTTTATGGTGTCTGTCCTGCTTCCTAAAGAATGTTTGAAAAGTAAGTCCTAAGGTATTCTAGTCCTGCTTTCCTATCTTCTAATTTGTCCTTGTGTTTATTATCTCATCCAATGGTTGTTGCAACGCATCACTGGGCATCTTCCAACATCGCTTGTTTGAGTTAGGCTTGGTATGCATGCTTGTGGTCTTGTACGTGATTTTGATGCGATGTGCTCTTTCGTTCCCATTCTTGCTTTTTCCTTGAATATATGCATCAGAGTGTTATCAAGTTGAATAAACTCTTACATTTGCTTTGAGATGATTTACTATTTAATAAGGAATATTCATTTTCCCTACATTTTTGTCAGTAGTTATATTCCTGTTGTTATGATGCATATATTGAATCGGGTCTCCTCCCATAATGTAGGATCGTTGTTCGGGAAAACACCATTTTTCATTCTCCGACGACTTTCGCCGAGTTAGTCTCTAGTTAAATTTCATCGGAAAGTAAAATAGTACTTGTAACAGGAACTCTTTCATGAACCGTATTTATACCCGTGTTAGTTGTTCGTTGTGCTTAGATGTGGCAGCTACACGGCCTTCCATTATGGAACGTAACTGCCGTGTCCATGGCCCAGCAGATTGTGTGTGTGTGTGCGTGCGTGCGTGCTTGTGTGTGTGTGTGTGTGTGTGTGTGTGTGTGTGCAATCAAGAAGGGTCTCCAAAGCCCAAGTTATACTGTAAAAATGTATTCATACGCAATAAACAAACGCTAAATAAATCTGGGAAATTGTTTAAGTGTTTTATTGTTCAAGCTTTCAGAAAGGTCGTAGCCGCCAGTCATTAACCCACATAATTTTGGAAGACATTTTGAACACTAAATATGGAAAGTTTTAGAAATTCAAAGAGATCTTTACTAAATGGTCCTGCAAAAAATAATTAAATGTCTCTCGTTTGAAATGTGAAATTCAAAACAATATTTAGTCAGTATATCTATCACAAAAGCAATTTGATCAAATACTTATTGTTGTGTGCATGTATGTGCGTAAGTACGTATGTATGCACAATAGTGTATATTATTTGAGAGGGCGTGGGTTAATAGTCTCTGGCTTGGCCAGTGTGGGTATGTGAAAAACCTTGACATAGATTCCCGTGGTTCTTGTCGTCTTTACCAATCGTACCATATCAACTCTATCCACGTGGGGTCAAGTCTTGGGCTCCGCCAATGTGAAAAAGCTTGCCAATAACCTAGCCTTAGGTCGGTGGTTGTTTTTGTATTTCCCCGGGGTTCTACCTCCACCAGTCATAATGGCTGCCATGCATAATCAATTGTGTGCTGATAAATGATAAAAAATGATAAAATTGTGTGTTAATAAAACCCATAGTGACAACAACATATTCTTTGAGTGTGATGCTGGTGTGAGTGTAAGGCAAAAACTTTCGATCCAAGATCATGTCGTTGAAACATTGTGCTTTTTTAAGGGACCATCGTGCTGATGTAACTTGCACCAATTATCGGGTACATTAAGCCATCAAAAAGTCACCTTAACGGTCATATTGCGTAAGCAGGCACACTCAATCGGTATCTTAAGGTATAAAACACGCATCTAAATGATAGACATTGCGTAGGCGTACAAAGCCTTTGGGTTCTTTAAGGTAAACATTGATTACGCCTCGGATTATTTAAGACAACCCCACAGCTCTTAGACTGACAAGTACATTTCTAAATAGTATACTTCTCATATATATATATATATATATATATATATATATATATATATATATATATATATATATATATATATATATATATATATATATATATATATAAGTTTTGAATGGAAATCGATATCAAAACAGGCTTTTATCTCACGTCGGCCTTTTCAAGTTCATCTTAATCGAAGTTTGGATAACATGCAACTTATTTTCATCGCTGCTGTCAATCGTGCGAGTTTTATGCACTTTGTACATTGTGTCTGCCTACGCAATATGTACAATTTAAGTGTTTTGCCTTAATGAACCTAGTAACTCTACGTAGCATAATTTTTTTCCTGGTCAGTTTAGTATTATTTCGTAATTGTTTATGCCTAAAAAGTATAGAAAACTGATGTTGTTCCCCACAAACTTTGCTTGCGTGACCAGGACATTGATATTTTTGAAATTTACCTATGTCCTCAGAGAAAACGGGTGGATTTGTGTCTTTCTGTTCACATAAAGTCGAGAAAAAAACAACATATGAATAAAAATTAATAGTTTTTAAATACTTAAGTGATACCAAAAAAAAAAAGATTTAGAAGTGAGTAGTTTTTCGAGATTTACAATTTTTCTGTCAATCACATTCACGAATCACCCCCAAAATGTAGTCTCCCATCATGATGTCGTTATACTGTCCTTGGTAGCGGCGTTCAAAGTGCAGTATATCCTGGTGGAAGCGCTCGTCTTACTCTTCCGATTATACTCCCATGTTCTCCTTGAACTTATCAAGATGAGGTGTAAGGATGTATTAAAAATTTACAATTTTAAAAAAAATTTAAAACATTTTAACACATAAAATTCCGAGTAACAATTGTCCATCTTATCTTCCAGAGTTTTTGTTGCAGTGCTCACAGGTGAAATGAGGTGCCCATGGTTTGTCTTTGTACCCGACAGGCATGCCGAAATATGTCTTTTAGACCTCACATCTTAGAAGATGCTTCCGATGAGTACTTTTTGTTCCTGTCTTGATAAAATGGCCGCTGACGTATCAAAACGCGTCTTCTGGATACTTGCAACCTCTTCATGACATCTCAGAAAAAATGCAGATATATGTCCACTTAGGCAGCTGGAACTAAACTGAACTGGTGAGCTTAAGGTCCTTGATTTTATACTAATTTTTATATTCCTGGAAAGTTCTGGAAGGCTCTATAAGTTACTCCAAGTATACTCAACACTGAAACTATCTGGAATTTTCTCTAGAATAGATATTATCACTGTCCTGGTCACGAAAAAAAAAATTCTACCCAGGAACAAAATATTTTTTTTTACAAGGTTTAATTGTTGGATCTTACATCAGCTTCAAGATATTTTAAGAAAAGTCTAAGGTAGACATTCTTGCCATACCGTGAATGGAAACTGTACTTCATGAAGCTGTAAATATGTCGTCATAAAGTTAGCACGGACATCACGACTCTCAACAGTTACGTCACAACACTAAACAGTGACATCACGACACTCTACACAACTGTTTCACGCATGAAATAAACTGTACTACATTAATTATCAAGAACTGACCGCAATGGCACTGCTCACTATATGAAGCTTTTGTACCGAATCAAAATAGACCAATAGCCTAAGATTTTCAAGCCTTTCAATCAGGGGGTCTTCATATAAAAATAATATTATCAGGGTGGTTTTATCTTAGTCAAGACACAACACATATACTTTTTATTTGGGACTCTGATATGTTTTTTTCTTCTTTTCTAAATCGATCAGCTCTTGATAAGCTCTACCTATAATTTTTCAAACAGCATTTAGACGAAGAGTTATGTACTCTAACTTCAAGAATCTCCGATTTTGACTTCCTTTGGAGCTTGCCATTTCATCGCGTTGCCACTGGGGAGAGAGAGAG